ACATTATAACGCCCCCACGGCTGAAAGGGCGAGCACGTTTGGTGTGATGGGGATTCGAACCCGCCACCATCAGATTGCGAGTCGAGCGTCCTACCACCTGGCCATGCCGGGCTTGTTAGGAAATGTTCTTTATTGTAGAGTTTTCCAGACGTGTACTTCCCAGTTACAATTGTAGTAGCCAGGCGCCGTTAATGGTTAAAGTGCAAGACTGTGAATCCAAGAGTTCATGATTTGCATCCCAATGCTGCAAAACTGAGTTCCTCACTTTGGGGTGATGGATGCGTTACAAGAGTGACAGTCAAGTACAACTTTTCTATGAGACAAGAACACATGAGTAACCCAAAAGTTAGACCGGGTATTACCGGATTAGTTTATCAAATAGCGGATATCCAAAACAAAGAAATTACAATTTTCAAACGGGGACGAATCATTTTCAAAAGTAAAAATGACAAATGAGTATCTACAAATGAAGATGGGTCAAAGAAGACTGAGAGGACTTGAGATTCTCTGCATCGGACAGAAATGGGCTGGAAATTAATTTCAGAGAAACAATTGGTTTCAATGCTGACCAAAAAAGTACACAAAAAAGTTTTAAGTACTGGTAACTGTGGTGATTATTGGATTTCAATCGTTTTAACTTTCCTATAATTTATCTAAAAATATTATTTTATGGCAGATGATCAAATAACTAAAAAATGAGCCCGTAATAAAGGAAATTAAATTATTGTAACGTATACGATGGCGAGAACAGAAGAGTTAGTGGGTAGAGGAAGGCCATACAGAAAATTTTGCTCCAGGGCATTTCAGACCCTTACTATGCCACTGCTGAGAAAATAATGATGTTTATAAATCAATGAAGACTAAAATCCGTCCTCTAAACAGGTAGATTTAAAAGGCAATTTTAGTAGAGCGAAAATTGGCATTGGACGGAGTAAAGTATCACTGATGCTAAACTGATCTGATGATATTAAAAAAACAAAAAAAACAACAACTCTGAATACTTCTTCTACTGATGATGACAAAACCTTGTCGAAACGTTGTACATTTGCTGTTATGTTAAACTTATATTAAAGTTTTTCTTCATTACCCATTCAAGCCGTCTCCAGCCATTATTATTTCTTCTAAGAGGTTATAATAATCATATTGCACCAGCTGACCTACACCTAATTAACCAAATGAAAACTCTCCATTAAAACCCCTTTCTTCCATCACGGAAAATAAATCTCCCAGGCTATACAAACATGACAGAAATGAATAAGAAAACGGCCATGGAAAACTCTAAGGATAAGTAAGAGGGCCTAGGTTAGGTATGGCGTAATCCATCTTAGCAACTATCAGTTTTTAGCTTTGATTCACTAAGTGGGGAGCTGCTGCCTGGGCTATTTGAAAATATATGCCACCCACGTTTTCTATATTAGAAAAGTTGCCTCCTTTTTACTTCTATTCAAAGATGTTGTTTTTCAAAGACAGCACTTTATTTCAGTTCGGTGATACCAATATTTTCACCTTCTTTTTATAAGATACACTTTTAACAGTTACGTTCTAGGCAACTTCTCTTTTCAGGAGTACTTTCAATAATCCTTCTCCTTTCAATACTGCACAGAACTGCCTTATCTCTTGCGACAGTCATGAATTATTGGAGATCATAAAACAGATACGTATGCAAAAACCTTAATTTCCAATCTTGATTGGGGGGGGGTCTGTTATCTTCACTACTTGAAATTATATACCATACCACGTTTCCTATACTAGAGTAGCTGACTTCTCTCGTCGTCTTTTTTTGCTTATAACTGCAGACGTTGCTTTTCGAAAACAAGCATTTTCTTTATGTTTAAATGAAGAGAGTTTTATGTTAACCAAACACATTACCAGGAATATGTTGTCATACAGGAACTATATTTTCCGCAGTCTATAGTGAAGTCAGCAGTTTGGAATAACCAATTTTTTGATTCAATAAAAAATCTGTAAATGTCGACCGTAGAAACAGTTATTGAAGTAGAAAAGCAATGTTTCATTTTAACAAACCATTTGGAAAACAAAACTCTAGTATTCTGTAATATTATATAAGGGAATTGTCCCCGGGTCTTTCTTTACACACGCCTGTCGGGTATCTAGAAGGAAATGTAAACAACTTTAGAGGATTTTACACTTTACTGAATGGTGTTCACCCCACTATCACACTCATTTTAAACCGTTCTGACGAAATAGAAGCTTTAAGTGAATCACGAAATCAAAGTTATTCTATTTTTCTGAAGTATGGGGAAAAAATTTGACACTAGGACAATGAAGACACTTGGACACGCTAG